CAAATGAAAAGATTAAGATATGTGTTTCTTTGTTTCTCTCTTTCACTCTCTCTCTATTCCTCTTTCTCTCGCTACTACCCCTTCTCTCTCTCTCTTCTCGTTTCTCTTGTCTATGGATCTATCCTCTATCTACTTTTATCTCTATGTTATGTATCTCTCTCTTGTATCTATCTATCTATCTATCTATCTCTCTGTATCTATCTATCTATATATACTGTATATATATTTCCTTTTTCCTTTATCTCTCACTCCCCCCCCCCTTTCTCTCTCTCTCTAGCTATCTATCACTCTAAGAGAGAAGAGAGAGAGAGGAGAGAGAGAGGGAGAGGGAAGAGAGAGAGAGAGAGAGAGAGAGAGAGAGAGAGAGAGAGAAAGAGGAGAGAGAGAGAGAGAGAGAGAGAGAGAGAGAGAGAGAGAGCGAGAGAGAGCGAGAGCGTAGAGATAGATAGATAGAGATAGATAGATAGAGATAGGAGAGAGAGAGAGAGGGGGGGGGGAGAGGATGATGACAGAGTGAGAGCCTGGGATCCAACAGCTGATACGGTGTTCATCTTTCACCTGATGGATGACCGGGAGAGAGGGGGAGAGGGAGGAGAAAGGAGAAGGGGTAGGAGGAAAAGGGAAGAAGAGAGGGTAGAGGGAGAAGGAGGGTGGATAGAGGCAGGGGAGATTGAGGAGGGCAGGAAAAAGGGGAAGAAAAAGGAGAAAGGTAAGACAGAGGAAGAGGGTGAGGAGAGAGACAGAAAGGAAAATGAGGAAGAGGGGGGGGGAAAAGAGAGAAAGAGGAGAAGGAAAAAGTTAGCATTAGGGGAAGCGAGAAAGGAGGAAGTGGAGGAGCAGGAAGAAGGATAGGAGAAGTGGAGGGAATAAGATAAGAGAGGTAAGGAAAAAAAAAAAAAGACACACTCTCCTCCCTCCCTCCACTCTCCACCCTCCCCTTTCTCCTTCTTCTTTCCTCTCTCTCTTTCCTCCTCCCTCTCGCCCCCTCCGTCCTCCCCATACCCCTTATCTCCCTGTATTTATATTACATTTTTGATTGATTGAGCCCCGATGAGGAGCAAAGGAACTGCTTCTGTTCTTGTGTGGCGATGTCGAGGTATGAGGGAGAGATGGAGGGAGGAGGGGTAGGGAGGAGAGATGAGGGGGGAGAGGGAGGGGGGAGGGGGAGGGGAGAGATGGGGAGGAGGAGGGGGGGGGAGGGGTGGAGGGGGATATGGGGAGGGAGTGGTGGGGGGAGGAGGCGGAGGGAGAGATGGGGGGGAGGGGGGGGGTGGAGGGTGGAGGGTGGAGGGGGGAATAGGGGGAGAGATGGAGGGAGGAGGGGAAGAGATGGGGGGAGGAGGGAGTTGGTGAGAGTTGGGGGGAGAGGGAGTGGTGGAGATGGAGGGGGGGGTTGGGGAAGAGAAGAAGAGGAAGGGGAGTGGGGTGGAGAGAGGGAAAGGGAAGGGGATAGAGAAAAAAGGAAATGAAGAAAGGGAGGGGGAGTGGGATGGAGAGTGAATGGAGAAGGAGTGGATAAGAAGAAGAGGGGGAAGGGAAGAGAATAGGAGTAGAGGAGTAGAGGAGGGGAAAAAGGAAAAGGATAGAGAAAGGAGGAGAATGGGGATGGAGAAGAAGAAGGAGGGAAAGAATGAATAGAGGGGTGGGGGGAGGAGAGGAAGCTGGAAGAGAAGAGAGAGAGAGAGAGAGAGAGAGAGAGACAGAGAGGGAGAGAAGAGGGAGAGAAGGCATAGAGAAAATGACGGGAGGGATGGATAAAATATGGGAGGAAGGGAGAAGGAGGAGATATAGAAAGGGAGAAGGGGGGATCTGAGAGGGGTGCCGCCAGGGGGGGGGGGGGGGAGTAAGCAAGTAAGGCCTATTTCTTTCTTATTTATGGTTCCACTCCTGACACTATAATTTTGCCATTTATATATTTAACATTTTCCATAAATTTCTGTTTACACATATACACATCACACACACACACACACATCACAAATACACACACACACGCACACACACATCACGCAAAAAAATAAAAATAAAAATAGAAAAAAAAACTAATAAAAATATAAATAAGTAATATATAGTAAAATGAATAAATAAAAATCAGAATCAAAATAGCACGAGGAAAATCTGAGAAAAAAGTTGACGTTAATTTTCGACAAAATCTGAAAAATTTCCGATTTTGATAACTCTTGATAATCAACGCCAACTAGAACTGGTGATTTAATAACAACTAGACGTTGATATTTTGGATTCACAATTGACATACTTTCCAGAATGGTTTTGTAAATCTCGTAACAAATTCTCCATTTCTTCATATATTATGTCGAAAATAACGAGTAGTTTCAAGAAAATAATAACTAGCAATACAACTTATGTTAATTTTATTTTGTATATATGTATTTTTTTTTCTTCTTCTTTTTCTTTTTTTGCTGTCTGTTCTGAGTAAAATAATAAATAAATAAATATAAAGTGGTTATAAAGGTATGCAAATTATGTAAAATAATGTGTCAGCTAATTTGAGTAAACAAGATATTTTGGCAAATCGAGGTCAGTTGCTAGTTTATTTATTTATATATTATTATTATATTTTTTTCTTTTTCTTTTTCTTTCTTTTTTTGAGACGAGGCGGAAGAAACGTTAACAAAACTTTATAAAAGATTTATTTCGTAAGGAGTTGGGGGGGGGGAGGAGAGAGAAAGCTCGCGTTCTCTCCATTAATCCTCCTTTTAAAACCTTATGCTATTAAGTCTGCACCCGTCTTTTCATCTATCCACGATTTCCAACACATGAAATTCACCGTCTATCCCGCCCTCGCACATACGGCAAAAAAAACAACAACTTCAATATCGCCAACTAATCCGACTTTACGGCGACTCAACCAAACCTAAATCCCACTCGCTGGACATCGCTGTCTTGCACTCAGCGTGTGTATTTAAAACCGTTCAGCGTGAGATCCTCGGCGCTGACCCACTCACACAGTGTCTTGCTGTTCAGATAATACGTACAGCGCCATCTATGTCAGGGGAAGCGATGTAAGTATGTGTATCATAGACATCTAACTGGTATTATAACTCTGGAGATGGCAGGAGTATTATTATTTACCGAGGAAGTGGAGGGGAACAAGAGCCGAGCCTTGTGGAACGCCGTGGGAAATAGGGTTTTAAATTCATCCATTTCACCTTGTTTCTTTATTCATTTGTTTATTTATGTTTTTTTTTATCTGAATAGGTGTCTTTGTCTTTTATTTTACTATCTGTTCATGTTTTATTATTTATTTTATTATCTGTTCATGTTTTATTTTTTGTTTATTTTATTCATATTTTCATTTTTTATTTATTTATTTATTCTTTTTGTAATACGTATTTTGCTCTCGATCTCAGAGGACAAGAAGTGTATACTGCTTACTTTTTCTCCCGTGTTTTTTTTTCGAGACACAAAGAAAATATTTCCAGTTTATTAGCTAGACTTATTTGTTGCAAGGAGAGGAAAGTCTGTCTAAAATTCCCGGAATTTCTAATTGGTCGTAGGTGTCAACAACATTTATACAAGTTGTTACCATTATTATTATTATCGTTATTACCTTTATCTTTATCCATATTGTCATTATTACCTTCACCATTTTCATTATATTTATCAGCTTTAATATCATTATTATTATCCTCTTTATCATTACCATTATTTTCAACATCATTGTCATATTTGCTATTAGTACTATTATAATGACAATAATCGTCATTATTACTACTACTACTATTGTTATTATTATTGTTGTTATTATTCTAGTTTCTATTAATGTTTTTATTGTAGCTATAATTGTTATTATTATCATCATCATTATCATTATTATTGTTATTATTATCATCATTATCATTATTATTGTCATATTATCATCATTATCATTATTATTGTTATTGTTGTTTTATTGTTGTTGTTATTATCATATTATTATTATCAGTTTTATTACTACTACCACTATCCTCATTAGCATCACATCATCATCTTTATCATCATCATTATTATGATTATTATAATCGTTTTTATTAAGATTATTATTCTGACTATTACTAGCACTCCTGCTGCCAACATTTATCATTATTACTATTGTTGTTGCAGTTGTTATTGATGTTGTGTCTAGCAGGGTGCAAGTAAGAGACAGAGAGAAGAGAGAGAGAGAGAGAGAGAGAGAGAGAGAGAGAGAGAGAGAGAGAGAGAGAGAGAGAGAGAGAGAGAGAGAGAGAGAGAGAGAGAGAGAGAGAGAGAGAGAGACTGACACACGCATACACAGGAGAAGGAGAGAGAGAGAGAGAGAGAGAGAGAGAGAGAGAGAGAGACAGACAGACAGACAGACAGACAGACAGACAAAGAAAGAAAGAAACAGAAAAAGAAAGAAAGTGAGAGTGAGAGAGAGAGAGCAAGAAATAAAGAAAGAGAGGAGCTATCCAAGGAGCGTACCTGTCGTCCCCAGAAAAGACTCGTTCCAACTCCTCGCTTGAGGCTCATTGGCTAGCATGACACACTGTTCTGCCAAGGATACAAGACACTAAAATTTATTTTATTTCCCTTTCGCTCTATTTAGATACAAGTTTTATTGATTGAAATTATAGTTTCTTGTTATCAGAATATTTTTTGTTATCAGAATAAGCTTTTTTAATTAGAGTTATTTTAGTTTTAAGTGAGGACGATAATGACAAAATGATGAATATATTTTATTCTTTAATTATTGCAGTCATAATAATCATTATCATTGAATTTAATCCTTAATTTAATTTAATCTTTAATTTAATTTAATCTTTAATCATTAATTTAATCATTAATTTAATCTTTAATCATTACAGCCATAATAATCATTATCATTGAATAATTAATCATTAATTTAATTTAATCTTTAATTTAATTTAATCTTTAATCATTAATTTAATCATTAATTTAATCTTTAATCATTACAACCATGATACTAATTATCATTGAATTATATATCATAAGAAAGAATACTATTCACACTTCCTTTTTTATGCAATAAGGCAACACACGGAAGAGAATTTCTTAAGAATGTCTTTCAGCCGTTCAAAGAAACCCACGTTTATCTGTGAGGCAGCTGTCAGGACACGCTCTGAGGTATGACGTGAGTTGACATGTTGGAAGTCAGGTGTTGACGTGAGGTGATATGTTGGACGCGTTGTGACTAGTTGACAGACATGTTGGAGGTGAGGTGTTGACGTGAGGTGATATGTTGGAGGTGAGGTGATATGTTGGAGGTGAGGTGTTGACGTGAGGTGATATGTTGGAGGTGAGGTGATATGTTGTGATGTGACGTGAGGTGATATGTTGGAGGTGAGGTGTTGACGTGAGTTAACATGTTGGAGGTGAGGTGGTATGTTGGAGGTGAGGTGTTGACGTGAGGTGATATGTTGGAGGTGAGGTGTTGGTGTGAGGTGATATGTTGGAGGTGAGGTGTTGACGTGAGGTGACATGTTGGAGATGAGGTGTTGACGTGAGGTGATATGTTGGAGGTGAGGTGTTGGTGAGGTGTGTTGGAGTGCGTGATATGTTGGAAGTGAGGTAATATGTTGGAGGTGAGGTGTTGACGTGAGTTGATATGTTGGAGTGTTGTGTTGGAGTGAGGTGTTGGTGTGTGTTGATATGTTGGAGGTGAGGTGTTGACGTGAGGTGATATGTTGAGATGAGGTGTTGTGATATGTTGGAGGTGAGGTTTGACGTGAGGTGATATGTTGGAGGTGAGGTGATATGTTGGAGGTGAGGTGATATGTTGGAGATGAGGTGTTGGAGTGAGTTGATATGTTGGAGGTGAGGTGTTGACGTGAGGTGATATGTTGGAGGTGAGGTGTTGACGTGAGGTGATATGTTAGAGGTGAGGTGATATGTTGGAGGTGAGGTGTTGACATGTTGGCGTGAGTTGATATGTTGGAGATGAGGTGTTGACGTGAGCTGACGTGTTGGAGATGAGAGATCGACATGTTGAAGATAAGGGGTTAACATGAGTTAACATGTTGACGGTTAGGTGTTAACTGATATTGAGGTGTTAGCATGAGATGATATGTAGATGCGGGTCGACATGAGATGAGGAGGTTGACAAGTTATACATACTGACGAAAAGATGCTAACATGAGTTGACTTAATGAAGCTGAGTCTAGCATATTGAAACATGAGAGAGAAAGAGAGAGAGAGAGAGAGAGAGAGAGAGAGAGAGAGAGAGAGAGAGAGAGGAGAGAGAAGAGAGAGAGAGAGAGAGAGAGAGAGAGAGAGAGAGAGAGAGAGAAAGACACAGTAACTAAACCTAAAACCACCTTTACTGAATCAAAATACAATGTTTTTATTCCCCCAAAGACGAAACCCTGACAAATGCGTGCGTGTGCGTGCGTGCGTGTATATGTATGAGAGAGTGTGTGCGTGTGCTTGCGTGTGCTGCGTGGTGTGTGTGTGAGAGAGAGAGAGAGAGAGAGAGAGAGAGAGACAGAGACAGAAAGAGAGACAGAAAGAGAGACAGACAGACAGAGACAGAGAAAGAGACAGAAAGACAGAGAAAGAGAGAGAAGAGTGCGTGTGCTTGCCTTCTTGCCTGCCTCCTTGCCTGCCCGCTTGCTTGCTTGCTGGCTTGCTGGCTGGCTGGCGGCGGCGGAGCGAGACAGCGCGGGGAATTCCTAACATTCTCCCGAGGCTCCTTCTTGTTGCTTGCCTGATGCGGGATCCGGATTCACGAGAACGTTGCCTGTGCTTGCGCGGCGTTGGCGTTCGCTTCCCCAACGCCTCCTGACCTTGGCTTCGGGGACGATGCTGGCGAACTCGCTCGGCTCGACACTTGCACTCTCGGTCGAGGCGGGGGGAGGGGATCGGGGAGGGGGTGGGGGATAGGGAAGAGGAAGGGGGATAGGGGAGGAAGGGAGAGGGAGAAGGATGAGGGGGTGGGGGAGGGGTGAGTGGGGAGGGTATGGGGGATAGGGAGAGGGGAGAGAAAGGGGGGGGTGGGTGGGAGGACGTGGTGGATAGGGGGAGGAAGGAGAGGGTGGAGAATGGGAGGGCGTGGGGTAGGGAAGGGAAGGGAGGGGGTGGGTGGGGAGGGCGTGGGGGATAGGGAGGAGGAAAGGGAGGGGTGGGTGGGGATAGGGGAGGGGGGAGGAAGGGGAGGGCGGGTGGGGAGGGAGGAAGGGGAGGCGTGGGGGATAGGGAGGAGGGTAGGGGTGGGGGGATAAGGAGGACGAGTAGAGGAAGGGGGGGTATGTGGGGGGTACGGGTGGTTGAGGGTAGAGGAAAGGATGGGGTGGGGTGGGGGAGAAGGAAGGGAGAGGGTATGGTGATAGGGGGGAGGAAGGAGAGGGGTGGAGGAATGGAGAGGCGTGGGGGTAGGGAGGAGGAAGGGGAGGGGGTGAGGTGGGGGAGGGCGTGGGGATAGGGAGGAGGAAAGGGAGGGGTGGGGGGGATAGGAGGAGGAGGGGGAGGAAGGGGAGGGTGTGGTGGGGGAGAGGAGGAAGGGTAGGGGTGGGTGGGGATAAG